TGTATAAATGTGCGAATTTGTTCAAACTTGCATAACATTACTTATAGAAGTACAGTATTTTTTACTTAAATCAATATATGTAAATTTAATATAATTATTTCCTCATTTAATTTCCTGATCAATGTTCATATAAATTTGTACGTATCGAGTGATATACTTGTTTATTCCATCAATTATTTTGAATTTTATATAAGCTGGAAACAGCAAAGCTCATATACAAGTATTGACTATATGATTTCGCTCGAAAATTAAATATTTTTAGATAAATCAATACAAAATTTTTAACTATATAAATTAGAGCAAGCATTTGTAACTATTTTATAGGAATGTCTAGTAATCTTAAATGATTTCAAACTTTTTACAACGAAATTAAACATTCCACACGTCCTAAAAACAATCTGTTGAAACTGCCAACCAAAGCATTCGTCTCTTTCAGTTCGTGGGGTTTTTGGCTCAAAAGAGCATCACACAAGTCCTAGTAGGTCACGTAAATCAACGGAGTTTGCTCCCAGGCGATTTAAAAGGTTCAAAGATAGTCCAACTTCGTGGCGGATATACATCTTCTCCTCTTCCAAGAATTTTAGAAATTCTTGAGGGAAAAAGTATGTTCAAGAACCTCCAAGATTAAGGTAAATATAAATAAGGAATCGACGCTGTGACAGGAAACACTTTTGCGTGCGCTAAGAGATACTTTAATCTTATCTTCTCTGAATACTTACGTCAAGACTATCATATTTCTATAATAGATATTATCAATTAACAAATCTTTGCATTTGATTTTTTATATCACCATATCACTTATCAACTAAAACTCTTCAATAAGAACACATTTAGTTATGTAAGTTAATTTTGTCTTTACTTTAAAAATGAATATAACATCATGTTAAATGTTAAACTTAGAGAAAGGAATTCTATTGATATTTGACGAATTACTACGTTTTTTCTGTTTAAAATCTGGTAGTCGTTGACGTAATAGTACATCTTTGCTGTTACTGTGTTAAAGTTTAAAGAATATTCATATTTGAAATCTTTTCAATCCAGACAAAAGCACACAACTACTTCTCTTTTCGTTAAGTATCAAACGTGTTTGATGAAAGAAACATTTTCGAGTTTAATATCTTTAAGGTCAACCAAACACTCAATTATTCCACACGACTGAAACATGTACATTCGGAAATAGAAACGTTAGATCTAATATCGCAGTTGGACTATTATATAAAATGTATTTCTATGGAAACCAGATATTGTAAAAAGATCAATGGTCCTTGGATCCTTTTTCAAGTTCGCATCCTTTATACTCAGGAAATTTCAATCCGTCCCTTTTCCTTTTCAAGTTTATAAAAATAGCAGAAATTCAATATTTTTTGAGTCCATACCACACCACAACACACCACATCCAAACTTGATATCAATTTCATTTCGAACATTGAAAATCGGTTAAGTAAAATAATAAAATTGCTTCAAGAAACGAAATTGAATTTCTATTATTATAGAAAGTTATTACGACATGATTAGATCCATAATAAGAAAGTGAATTATAACATTTCACCTTATACAGTTTGTTTGTTATTGCTCTCGTCTTTTGAGTAATTCTTTTCAATTCACGAACTATCTTTAAACGTAGACAGTAGTTTCCTTTGTTGTTTTGTTGATTTGAATTCCGAAACATCTGCTCGACGGTTCGCAGCCCAGAAATTAAATGTTTAATTATCATGATGATATTGTTTCCGTTCTAAATTAAGAACGTGTTATGCAAGAGGCCGCAGACAAGCCAACGCATTGACAGCCTGCAATAAATACACGAGCCGACAATATACATACATGCATATATTTATTTCGTTAATTGTTAACACATTGAAATCACTTTCTCCAGCTCATTTTAATGAACGTGGTGCTAATTGCACCATAGATAGGTAAATGTCACGTTTCACGAATTAATTCCTCCTAGGTATGGTAGTTAATCTAAATCTATCGGGCAATACGTTCAATTTTCTTTTTCTGTGATAAACATGGGAATTAAGCGGTTCAGTTTCTTGTTCTCTCTATATATACATACGACTCTAACAACAGACAACAACTTTCTCATTCCAATTAAATTCAACGATTTATTTGTATTTGTCAATATGTCTTTAATAAATTTACTCGATTTGAAAATAATCATGCGAAATTAGTGCTCAATGTGTGAAACTGCATTGCAATTAAACTTTCCCAAATAATATTTAAAAAAAAAAGAAGAATGTACGGAAAGACATTTTGATCAACAATTGCAACAATTCGTGTTTTAAATGCTATTATTATTAATAATTTTACTACGTTTTTTAAAATATTATTATTATTGTGTTAAATTGTAAAACGTAAATAAGAAGTCATTATTTTATTTGGCATGACTTAGAATAATGTTACACTTGACATTTTAAAAGATACGATGAGCAAACTCGATACCTGAACTGTAAATTGCAGGTAAAACTTGAACCAAAGACACGATGAAAAGGTTCAGCCTGTCTGTACATGTCGTTGCCCAGAAACCAAACTATGGTAACACCTGCAATTTTTCAAAGAATCACCAATTGGACAAGAAACTTGAAACAGGTACGTACATGCACAAATATAACGCTACACCTGCAGATTAAACGTAATAAAAAAAGACACTATAGAATTAAGTTAAGTCAATAAATTTACAGGTGATTTTTTTTTTATTTTGACTTCTGCAATTACAATATTTGCACCTGACTTTACAGTTTCAATCATTTGTCCAATATGCATTTAAGTATAATTCAAGCAATTCGGTAATAAGTAATATAATTTCAACAAATCCAATATATAAATGTATGTAACAGAAAAAACAATTTATTTTTTAGTGTTAAATTTAGTAGTTGTTAAACAAAATTGTTTATTTATTCAATTAGATCGATTTTTCTTAAAACAAAAACTGGTTCCTAAATGATAAATAAAGCAATATGCCAAAATGAAAATACCAGTTTTACTTTTAATGGCAAGTGAGACTTGTTTATTGCCAGTCGGATTGGATTAACTGAAGAACGTATTTTTAAATAAATTATATATGTTAAATAACGATAATTCAACAAACCCTGATTATCATTACATTAGTAGAAATGTGTAAAGAAAAATATTATTTTGTAGTATCTGTTTCTGATAGGATTTGTGTCTTTTCTAGGAAGTGTGTGTATATTTAGCAGGAAATAAATATGTTTAGATACTTCCAAACTTTATAATTCGTAGAATAGAATAGTATTTACGATTAAGCTGTAGAGTAAGTAAAGGCAATGATAAGTAGGTTTGAATCTGGAAATTACACTTACAAAATGTATAAAAATAGCCCGTTTCTTCATATAAACTTATAATAATAGCACGTGGTTGGTGAAAGCGTTCAGCGGACAAATTTCTCCAGCCATCGAATTACATCCGTGGTTTCTTAGAAATGGAATCGTCGGTAATAAAGTATTGCTGAAGGTTCAGTGGAAAACGCGCAAAGTTGGGTTGAATCGATGGATGAGGATAGGATGTTTTCGGGAGCAGCTCGAAATGTTCATAGAAAATCGAAATATCAGACGACCAAAAGTGCTACGTGACTATAAAAATAACTGTAAATGAAGCCGTGAACAAAATACTAATATTATTTATAGGAATCTTTGCTGGGAATACGAAATGTGCTTATCATATTTTCTTAGATTGTTTTATTGCCATATGCGCTCGAGCCGCTTGTTAACATTATTTGCCCCCACACAAAGAACGGATTTAATTCTTTCGTATCAGTTGCATTTACATCAACGATATTTACGTTTTCAGTCGTAGTCTTGCATAGAGTGAAATGTTTATAGCAGCAGGTGCATCAACTTCATCCATTTCTCATCTCTAAAGATACATAGCTTACTTTTTTAATCGCATTTTCGCCTTGACAATCCCACGAGTTTAATCAATGCCAACAAGAGTATTTGGCATTGATGTGAATAGGCAAGCAGCAGCAGATAGTTCCAATTGCATCATAACACCTCCTCCTCCTCCTCTTCTCCATCTAATCAATAATAAAGATTTTGACTTGGGCGCAATGAAAACCCATTTACGGACGACCACAAAAGAATATTCATTATTCGATGCATCCACTTTGGAGGTGATAAAATCAAAGATTTACTTTTATTAGTCATAAAGAAACTTTTTCTTTTCGTTTCCTTAAAAAAGGAATCCTGTGATCCCATTCAATTTGGTGTCATCAAGAACAGGAACGTGTTATAAATTGCTTCGGACTTGTCAGAGCCTAGACAATACAATCATAAAGCAATTATAAACAATTTACGTTTTTTTTTGTTTTGATCCCACGATGAACCTCGGACATTAATGGGATAGTAAATTTTCTCGAAAGTGTTATCACAGTAGGAAAATTAAAAAACACTTAAGCTATAAATAATGTTCAGCTGGTAAAATTCTATAAATAGATCTGTAAAGTAAGAAATTCAATTATTACGAAATGGTAATGCGTGTATCGAGTGGGCATCAGAAACGATCCTAGAGCTGTAATGCAATAAGGTGCATATTACAACACATGAAAGAATACAAGTAGAAAGAATCAAATGTTAATTGCGAAGATGGGAATCAATTTTTATGGCACGACAAGAATGACACTTAATCATAGCAAGTAGTATTTATGAGTCATTCATATAAAATGTTTGTAAAACATTGTCGTCTGCACTGTTTGTGAATGTGTTTTTCTTTCTCTCTTTTTGCTTCTGTTCTGTTCAAATATCATTTTGTTTATTATTTAGTTTTTTATTTTCTTTTCTTTTCTTTTTCTTTTAACGTCAGAAACATATGAGAGAGGCGCATCAGATAGATGTTGAAAACAGTGGCTGCGGTGTATTTGTAGAAACAGGATTTTGCAAAGTAGTTACGACTGTCTTAATGTGGGGTAAAGAAGTAGGTCGTATACCCGAAACGTAAGTTCGCGAAGGGTGCGGTTGGATATTACACAAAAACATAATAGTTACCTTATCTGCAGGTACGTGCCTCGTCATCTTGCGTAATTAAACTATCCTTATGGGAAACAGTGGGTTCTTGTAGAACAAAAATCTTGAGCAAAAATACCTCCAAGTTTACTAAACACTACTCCATTACGTTATACCACCGCGCGCAGCTACCAAAACACGCACAGGATTGCACAAAAATTACTATTACAGCACGGTCTTCTTCATCGTTCTGCAAAGTTTCTTCTATTTTTTTTTTGTTTCTCTCTTCTTATCGTGTCGGGTCGTCGAAGTTGCAACAAAAATAAACAAAACACCACTTATACAACACACCCGACGTACAGAGCCACAAATAACGACCAGGAACCACTACAACAATGCAATGCAGCAGAGCTATCGTCTGCGCGGACTCAATGCGCGCCTTCGATCCCTCCTGGTTCTGTGTGGGCTATGATGATATTCCATCATAGGAAACCAGCTGCTACAACACCATGGAGCGCATTACACCACCGCGACATCTCTACTCTACTCGTGCCAACTACATACGAAGTCGAAGCATCCATCCCTTCAATCAATGGGGTGTCCATTTTTATAGAATTTCACCATTTCCATTTAAACATGTTGAAACCTGCTAACTTGCAACAATCAATTTCAAGTACTAATATTCAGCAACATCTCAATTTTATAACTTACAAAACCTACATCTTTATATAAAGACTATAAAATGATGTCTATCTCTAAATTGATTATATAGAAAGCTTCTATAATAAATCATTGATAAATTATCAGTTTGTCTTTTTCTCTCTATATATATATATAATAAAGACAGTGTTATAAATTTTAAATATTTTGACACTATACGAAACAAACTAGAACTTACATGGAATTAATTTCTAGCAAAAATTGTTCCAAGACATTTAAAATCTAATATAATTTGAGGAAAATTACATTTTTTTATAAAAAACAATCATACTTTATAGTTTTGAGAATTATCAAAACTTAATAAAGAGATTTATTATTTAATTGTTATATTTATAGTTTCAAGTTTGATTAATACAGTAATACATAAACTATATATTTTTAATGATTATTACACTGTTTCTGCCATCCTTTGATGCTTATCGAACTCAACATTGGATTGTATAAATTGAAAAATTTGAAAGTATACAACCTTATAATTATATAATAAAAAGACTGGCAACTTTATATACATTAAATCTATGTATGTTTCCCAAAATGTACGTTGGTAGAGTCCTCTGGTGATATATATGTGCGATCTCAGTAGCTGTCATGCAGTAGTTATTTTGTTGCATTTCGCAAATATTGAAGTGTACATAACCTGCTTGGTTTTAATGAAAATAAGAATTATAAATAGTCAGTAAACAGTCATGTCAGACGACAAAAACGAGGAGGAAAACGACGATCCTATCAGAATAATAGCGGTAAGGGCATTTTCTCATTGAAAACCAAAAGAAACTTCGAACCAGGTGTTCGGCGACTTAAAACACCTACTCACATCTATACCTAAAAAGTAAATGTCCACAGTATCTCCAAATTTGAGTCTACGCTATTTCTGACTAATTATCACCTTTTATCATTAATTAACTATAAGCTTTTTGCAACGAAACTCTAATTTTGTAATTAATTAAACTATATTTTTCGTAATTTTCATGTACCTTAATTAACTTGATTGTTACCACTCCTTGTTAGATGTTTAGATTACATTACAGGGTATTTTTTTATACACAAAAAAAAATATATTTCGTTTAAATCATAATTTACTATGCAGATTAGTATAATTATTGAAAAGTACTGCCCACATGGACAATTTTGTTCTACATAAATAGGAGTGGTTTAAAATCATAAATCTTTTAAATTTCTTAACTCTACAAATCCTTTCTAATATTTACTTAACGCTTCTTTTATATAACAGTAGCTTCATATGTATAGTTTGAATTGTAAATATTGTCGTAAAGTGATGAATCAGATTATTTTCTTCTATTTATTTATATTACTTGTATAATAAAGTCTATAGTCAAATGTTGATTATTCATATTATTATTATTATTTTTAATAATTCTTTCTGCTTTTAGCAAGCAGTTAAAAGCTTATACAAATTTCGAGATTATTATTTTGAACACCATAGCATTGAAAATGCAGACAATAGGAACTCAGATATAGAATTAGAATTGAATAAGACTCTTAATTTATTTGATAAATATAAAGGTAAGCACACACGAGTGAAGCAGACGGATGACTCATGGTTTATTAACGATTCTTCCGTGCCCCATTACAGACTGTGCAATCAAAAATGACAGAGGAAAGTATTATTATCTGAAAGGTTATGCTTTGAACATAGTGCCTAAATATAGTAAAGAAGCCGAAGAATTGCTATCGAAGGCAATCAAATTGGATCCTAAAATCGTCGAAGCCTGGAACGAGCTCGGCGATTGCTATTGTAAGAATAACAATTTAATAGAGGCCATCAATTGCTTCAATAAAGCTTTAAATTATGTAAGTGCATAAACGATAAATATGATTCAATGTTTGTTCATTGATTTCTGTTCATTGTTCTAGGGAAAGAATAAGGTGTCTTTGCGAAACTTGTCGATTCTTGAGAGGCAACGGCCGGCAATTACTGCCGAAGACAAGATCAATAATATAGAGAGAGGTTTGATGCTCGCTAAGGAAGCTGTTCAATTAGACCCGCAAGATGGGCATTCCTGGGCTGTTCTCGGAAATGCCCACCTGTCTGCATTCTTCGGGATATCCCAGAATCCCAAAACCCTCAAGCAGTGTCTGAGCGCCTACAATCAAGCGGTTTGCGAATTAATTTGAATTCCTGTTTGCGTTATCTAATTCCAAACATGTTTCAGGAGAAAGATGTAACTGCCAAATGCACTGCTGATTTGCATTATAATAAAGCTGTGGTACGTACACATCCATTCTGTATCTATCATTTTATTTGTAAATTTCAAGAAAGTGAATATGAATTATTTATTATTTGTAGATGTTGAAATATGAAGAGGAATATTTATTGGCCATTGATTCATTTACTAAAGCCGTTATGTATGATCCAACGTGGGAACAGCCCAAGAATAAAATAAAACAATTGGTGAAATATCTGAAGGAAATAACAGATATGGTAAGTAGTAGCGGAAAGATGAAATCGAAGAAGCTGCAACAATTGCTACAGGTAATGAACATAAACGTAATGAATATCATATATTACCTTTAATTAAATAATTGTCGTAGTCTGTCAATTCCAAGTTACTTGGTCCTTACAGTGGAGGAAGTTATTCCACTCCCAATGGCCAGAGCGTCACGTTGCAAGAGGTGACTGTGAATGAGTTGATTGGTGGATTCAATGAGGAAAAGGTCGTACTGGGAAAAGTTGTCTGTTCGGTGTACAATGAGGAAACTGTCCCGTTGTAAGTAATTCTCTCTATATTTTACAAATCTATTTTCATAATTAAAAAAAAGAAAGAACAATAACACGAGATGGAGTTGTATATATATATATATAAAGTTATATAAATATAGTATTTTCCTAATAATTACAATTTGCTCCATGCTCACTTGTATTAAAACAATAAGTTATTATTATTATCCATTAGAAAAAAAAAATGCTGTTATTCTTATAAAAAAAACACACGCACTTTTGTATTTTTTTGTTTTAGTACATTTTGTTTGGTAGATAAAATAGGAACTTGCGTCGTTGCAACTATTTACAACTTGGCCAATGGAAGGGGTGTCATAATCGGCGATTCCGTGGCAATTCCGGAGCCCTATGTTACGGACGTAGATTTTAAATACGATGGCAATGTGAGTAGTAGTATGTCCATTCTTAACGCTAAGGCATCTCAGCACTTCATTCGATTGTCGTCGTTTGTTGCAGGAGTACAAATTTAGATTGATCCGAATAGAAACGCCACTCGTCTTAGTCATTAACGGAAAGAAGACGAGCAGGGATTACCAGGCGGGCGTTCAAATGTCTCTGTTTAAAAAGTTCGATTAACACTATTACTATATATACAGCACTCTCATTTTCGTTCGTTTAAGTTCGTTAGATTTAGTGGACCAATTAAAATTTAATATATATAATATAATAATTTTGGTATACTGTAACTATTTCTAAAAAATAAACTTTGTTTACTAAAAAAGAGAGAGAG